TATCTATCTATCTATCTATCTATCTATCTATCTATCTATCTATCTATTCATTCAGACTAAAAACGTCCCCTAACTCAAGGGATGAGACAGTCAATGCAGCAGATTGATTGGTTGATGGAATGGAAATAATAATTATAATAGGTTTTATCACCCTTAAAGAGACTATCTAAATATATATATATATATATATATATACACACATATATGTGTTACATTGAGAAAGTCACATTTTTTTGACAATTTCATGTTTTCGGACGCTCTTTCAGAGTTTTTCTTTGAGTATTTTCCACCTTTCCTCACACTTTCATACCTATATTTTTCCTTTGTGCCACTTAACTCTGAGCTTTGACTAATTCAGGAAGACAACTCAACTCCTAACTCAAGGGATGAGCCCATAAACCCCCCCCCCCGGAGCGTTAGCTTACCCTGGAGTTGAGCAGCGTGTAGAGGACGTGGTCCGGGGTGGTCTGGGCTCTCCACTGGAGCACCTCCGACAGGAACAGGAACTGAAAGACCAAAACACAGACGGGATTATTGAGATGCTTCTGAACTGAATTAACTCTGTTTGTCAGCAGCATCAAAGGGACAGACGACCTCTTTAACTCATTGACTGCCAGCCATTTTCAGAACAGAGTCCCATACTGCCAGAGTTTTTTGAGCATTTTGACTGATTTTTCAAGAGTCACAGAATAGTTTGTGCTATGACTATGTAAACACCGAACACACCAAAAGAAAGAGTAGACTCTTCTTTCATCAGGAAAAAAAAAGTGTTTCTACCTTATTCCGTTCTTCCTGGACTTGCGTCTCACCGGCGACATGTTCTCTCATAGCGAACCGTTAGCTTTTTCTTATTTGCCTACAGTCTATGCTCATCTCCCATCAAAAGTGGCACTGCCCCCTAGAGGGTCAATTTGTTACTACATACTCTGTCTAGAAGCCGATATTTACGGACAAGCTTTAGCAGATCGTCCCCCAGCCACTCTCGTTGGAAAACATAAAAGACGTCTATAGACGTCTTTGGTCAATGAGTTAAAGTGTTTCCTTTCTTTACAACTCAGAGCTGGATAAATGTGGCTCGATATCCGACACCGAGAGGATTTATTTGTATTTTTAAATTGGGTTGTACTAAAGTTGGAAGTCACTGGCAGCTTCGGACTCTTTGCCCTGTGGTTCTGGCTCTACTCTGCTAGAGATTTAAGCAGATTACAGATCAGAATAAGCAGATCGAATTGTGACAAATTCAAAAGCAAAATAGTCCAAACGCTAACCTGCGTAACTGAACTGAGTATTTCTATTTAACTCCAGACTCTATGGACTCTGCTGCTCAGCCTGAAGCTAACACTGTTAAAATCCACACAGAAACCTCCCAGAGTGCCCATATTCGGTCAGAACCTGAATGAACCCCTGAATATTCACTTAGAAGATATAAATTTGTTTTAAAAAAGACTAGAAAAAAGCCAGAAGACCAAAAATAATGCCTCAAAAAAGCTAAATCAGAGTTGGATAACAGGGAAGAAGCTGAAAAAAACCAAAATGGACCACAAAATGGAGCTAAAAAGACCATAAACAGCATATAAATCTCCCACATTGGGTCAGAATCTGAATCAAACCGTAGAAGATAAAAATTTTTACTAAAAAGGACTTTAAAAAAGCCAAAGGACCAAAAAAACAGGCCAGAAAAGCAAAATCAGAGTTGAAAAACAGAGAATAAGCTGAAAAACACCAAAATGGACCATAAAATGGAGCCAAAAAGACCATAAACAGCATCTAAACCTCCCAGAATTCCCATAGTAAATCAGAACTCGCGAACTTAAGGAACTGAGTCCCAAAAACCTACAAGAAAAACCTCTGCCGGCTGTCAAAGGCTTCAGGGTCCTGATTAAATGCAGGTTTGGCAGCTGAGCCGTGGAGCCCGTCGGAAAATGAAGGGAACGGAGTTAATTTGGCAGACGGAGACGAGTGGGGGGGGGGGGGGGAAGGGGGGATGAATGTTTCAGGACTCGCCTCAGTGGGTAATTCATGCCTGTTCCCCTCCGTCCTGCAGATTTTCTCAAGCTTGTGCTTTTGTTTTGCTTCTGATTAACAGATCTGACAGAGATTTGCTCTGGAGAGTTTAAGGGGGTGAAACCAAGGCCGTACGCTCTGAATCTGATTAACCCTGTAATGCCAAATGTATCATATCTGATTCATACGGTTTCTGAAATGTTTTGCGTCTGACTCCTTTTGCATAATTTAATGGTAAAAACTTTTGCTCAAAATCCTATTGTACACAATCAGATACACCTGATAACAGGGGGCAGAAGATACACAAAAAATAATCTTGACTTATCACATAGTGATAAATTATTAATTTTAAAAATGTATTTCTGTTTTTTCTTTTTTACATATTTTGTTAAAAGGCCAAATAAGGAATTCAAACCAAAAAATAATAATTTTCTTTTTTGTTTTATTCTTGGATCAGGCTTTAAAGGGTTAAGCATCTGCATGTTTGTGTTCGTTTTTGTGCGTTCAGGTCGCACAAAGCGACACACAAAGTGTTTTAAACACACATGTGGAGTTATGATGTGTCCGGCTAGCCTCGAGCATCGTGAACCTCTGGGGTTTTCAAACACTTAACTCATTGGCTGCCAAAGATGTCTACAGACGTCTTTTATGTTTTTCAACGAGAGTGGCTGGGGGACGATCTGCTAAAGCTTGGCCGTAAATATCGGCTTCTAGACAGAGTATGTAGTAACAAATTGACCCTCTAGGGGGCAGTGCCACTTTTGATGGGAGATGAGCATAGACTGTAGGCAAATAAGAAAAAGGGAACGGTTCTATGAGAGAACATGGCGCCGGTGAGACGCAAGTCCAGGAAGAACGGAATAAGGTAGAAACACATTTTTTTTCCTGATGAAAGAAGAGAGTCTACTCTTTCTTTTGGTGTGTTCGGTGTTTACATAGTTATAGCACAAACTATTTTGTGGCTCTTGAAAAATCAGTCAAAATGCTCAAAAAACTCTGGCAGTCAATGAGTTAAACTCGGTTTCCCTGCATCAGTCGGCTGGAAATGTTCAAAGGGAAAATGAAAGCCGGCCCCGGTCTGAGACGGTTATCCCGGGTGCTTTTCACGGATGAGCCGAGCTGGGAATCCTCTTTGGACACGGATGACACTCAGAGGGAGGCAAATTCAGACGGGTGGCAGAAAGAAAAATATAGAAACTCGCATCAGAAGAGATGGGACAGCCTGAGAGGAAATAACGAACCCAACCAGACTCCAAAATAGGTTTTTTAGGCTTGAAATTGACCGATTACAAACCGTAAACTCCTTTTTAGTCCCCCTTTCATTGTTAGCCTACTTAAATCTATTTATCTATCCATCCATCAATGCATCCATCCATCCATCCAAATAATAATTATAATAATAAGTAATATTATGATTATGATTTTTCAATTTGACGAATTTCGCATTAAACATCACAAAATGTATAAAAATATATTTAAAATATTTCACTCTAAAACTACAAGAATCCAGTCCAGTAGTGAGTAAATGAGGAATAAACCCTGTCTATGAACACACACCGACCTCTGGAGATGCTATTGGCCGACGTGAGATTTTACTCAATACCTGATTGGTCGACCCACCAGATAACGCTAAATTAATATTTAAGGCGTATTTTAAAAGAAACGGGTACAGTGGGAAAGTGTTATGTAGAGGAAAAGTGTGTGGGGAGGGCTTTAAAGAACTTAAAATAGTGTATAACTACTAAAATAATGTATAAATATTAGAGTAAATATTGTATCACTACTTTGCGGTTTTTCCCAAACAACCGCAATAAGTTTTTTTTTAACAGTTTTTTCATATATTTTATAAAAAAAAGGTAGTACAATGCATTTAAATGCATTTAAATACAATGTCTTGAATTAATTTTCTTAATTTTTTTTTATTTAGTTTTCCAATCAAAACCCTTCTACCCACCCACCCATATATAAAACAAAATCTTGGTGGTACAATGTCTTGAATTAATTTTCTTAATTTTTCAAACTTTGTTTTCCAATCAAAACCCCTCTAACCACCCATATATAAAATAAATAAATAAAAAAAAACAATAAAACAAACAGAAGGAGGGAGGGTTACTCTGCACTCAGATACATATCTATAGTTCAGAAAGGGCTGTATTGACTTTTGGGTTAGGGTATTGAGGCTTTCAAAGTACTAAATCCCTGTACATTTCCGTCACCTGGAGGCTCTGATCAGAGGCTGAGATTGCAGAAAGCCGCCCTCTTATCTGAGAGCACCGGCATGTTCAACAACAAACGTCCACACAAAGAGCCGTCTGTGCCTCGGGAACGCTGCATTCCCCTTAAATTCCTGGCTGCAGATACAGATACAAATCTGCGGGCCTTTAGCGGTTAGCTAGCGCTCTCGTGTTGATTCACTGAAGTCTCGGTAGTATCTGGTGTCGTAATCGGCCGATGAAACGCAGCCCTGTCTGATCTGTTTTTGTCTGAAGGGCTTCCAGGTCCCATTTGCTGAAGAGGGAACCTGATATTAGGCCACAGGGAGTATCTATCGGAGGCCACATTAAAGCTCAAATGGCTCTATGGTCTTCTTAGAAACTGATGCAAAATGAGAAGCAGGGATCAATAGTCCCTCGGTCGGTGAAATGTTTCCCAATTAGGAGCTCAAAGACTCAAATGTCAATTTCTCAGAGACTCCATTAAAC